AATTCTCTTTTTGGATGAACTTTCATTAGGGATGATTTGCAATGAGTTATTGATTGATTTAGGAGTGAAAGTAGTGGTAAGAGATGGACGAGTATTAAGATTTTGTTGAATAGACTTTGTTTTTGTTTGTTTAAAGTCTCTAATGATTTGATACATCTCATTGATTTTGTCTAAGATACATTTAAGATTAATAGCATGTTGTTTATTCCATTGAACTTGTTCTTCTTGCATCTCAAAGATTTTTTCATTCTGAAACTTAATTCCATCAAGTAATTGGATGATTTCATGTGGTATTTCTTTTTGCATTAATATTCATTTTGATTTCAAGATTAAAAAATCTTCTTTTCAACTTTATTTATCGGAAAGTTCAAGAAAATGAAAGTTAATTTCAACTCACAAGAACTAAATTATTATCATGTTCATCTCACAACCTACAAGGTCAACTTGCATTGGAATTGACTTAGGAACAACAAATTCATGTATGTGTGTTTTTGATAAAACAACACCTCGAATTCTTGAGAATGCAGAAGGAAAACGAACAACACCATCTTGTGTTTCTTTTACACCAACAGGAATATTAGTTGGAGAACCAGCAAAACGAATGGAAGCATTACATCCAACAACTACTATCAGTGGAATTAAGAGGATGATAGGGTGTCAATACAAAAATGATAAACAAGAAAGAAGACCTTATAAAATTGTTAAAGGAAGGAATGGAGAAGGATGGATTCATATTAATGGGAAGACATATTCCCCAACAGAAATTTCATCAATTATTCTTAAGAAATTAAAAAAAGGTGCAGAAGCTAAACTAGGGAAAAGAGTAGATGAAGCATTTTATCTTCTTTCATTTTATTCTCTTATTTCCTTATTTCCGTTTTTGTTATTTCATTTTGTTATATTTATATTATTTTATTTATTCTTCTTTTTATTTTCATTTGATATCATTTTGTTATTTTGTATGTTAAATTGTTTATAATTATATTATTATATTATTTATTAACATATTCTATTTATATTTACATTTTATATTATTATTGTTGTATAATTATTTGTTTATAATTTATTGAAATGATTTAAATTAATATAAATGAATGTAATTATGAATTAAATAATTTTATATTTTATTATTTCATTTATTTATCATTATTCATTATTTGATATATTATTTTATTCATTGTTAATTTATGATTTGAATATTATATTTATCATTTATCATTTATTTTATCATATTTTATTAATTATTGAAATATTATATAAATATTTTATTATTTAATTTAATTTATCAATTAATACATTCATTTATTTATGTTTTATTCATTATATTATTTTATTTATATTATTTCTTATTTAAATAATCATTTTAAATATAAAATAATAATAAAAATAAAGAAAGAAAAGAATAAATTAAGAATGAATAAAAATAAAAGATAATAGAATAAATGAATTCATAATTATTTATCATTAATTATATCATTAATTATATTATCATTTATTATAAATATATTGATTATTCATTTATTATTATATTTATTATCTTTTATCATATTTTATTATTATATTATTAAATAAAAATAAAATATAAAATGAAATAATTAATAAAATATAAAATAAAATGAAATATTTAATAATTATAATTTATTAAAAATAAAAATAAATAACATTTTATTTTATTTCTTATTATTTATTGTTTTTCATAATAAACATCAATTAATAAAAATAGAATGATGATAAAGAATAAAAAAGAAGAAATTAAAATATAAAAATAAAAGAACTAATAAAAACAACTAATAAATAATAAATCAATAATGAAATTAGGATATAATGAAATAATGATAGTATCAATGTATTTTAATGATATTAAAGATTTTATTAATTTAGAAATTGGAGTTAAAAGATTTCAAGGAAATATGGAACGATTTCATTTTAATCCAATTCCTTTAAATGAATATTCAAGAAAATTATTTCCTAATATTGAAACATTTCATATTTATAATAAAAATGATAAAATATTTAATGATAGAAGAATAATTAAAAAAGTAATATGGTATCAAGTAGATTATTCAACATATTTAAAAGAAAAAGAACAAGGAAATATCTGTAAAAATATAGAATATACAGAAGAAGATAGAAATAAATATGGAAATATAATACCATCAGAAATTAAATCAGTTGGATATAATTGTTTTTATAAATGTAAATCATTAACAACAATTAATATACCATCATCTATTAGTAAAATAGGAGATGATTGTTTTGGATATTGTTCATCATTAACATCAATTAATATAGATAATCTACAATTTGTTAGTGAAGATAGAATATTTATAAATGAACCAGTGTTAATTAGTACTGAAATACCAGATAATCTACAAATAATCAATGGAAAGAATATTGAAAATAAAGATATTAATAAATTTATTATTCCATCTTCAATCACTAAATTAGGATATCGTTGTTTTAAAGAATGTTCAACATTAAAATCAATTAATATTCCATCTTCAATTAATGAAATAGGAGATTATTGTTTTCATGAATGTTCAACATTAAAATCAATTAATATACCATCTTCAATTAGTGAAATAGGGTGTTGGTGTTTTTATGGATGTTCATCATTAAAATCAATTAATATACCACCAACAATTATTAATTTACGAAGTGGATGTTTTAGATATTGTTCATCATTAACAACAATTAATATACCATCATCAATTAGTAAAATAGGAGATGATTGTTTTGGATATTGTTCATCATTAACATCAATTAATATAGATAATCTACAATTTGTTAGTGAAGATAGAATATTTATGAATGAACCAGTGTTAATTAGTATTAAAATACCAGATAATCTACAAATAATCAATGGAAAGAATATTGAAAATAAAGATATTAATAAATTTATTATTCCATCTTCAATCACTAAATTAGGATATCGTTGTTTTAGTAAATGTTCAACATTAAAATCAATTAATATACCATCTTCAATTAATGAAATAGGAGATTATTGTTTTCATGAATGTACATCATTAACATCAATTAATATACCATCTTCAATTAATGAAATAGGAGATTATTGTTTTTATAAATGTTCATCATTAAAATCAATTAATATACCATCTTCAATTAGTGAAATAGGAGATGAATGCTTTTATAAATGTCCACCATTAACAACAATTAATATACCATCATCAATTAATGAAATAGGATATAATTGTTTTGGATATTGTTCATCATTAACATCAATTAATTTACCACCAACAATTACTAAATTAGGAGAATGGTGTTTTTATGGATGTTCATCATTAAAATCAATTAATATACCACCAACAATTATTAATTTACGAAGTGGATGTTTTGAATATTGTTCATCATTAACAACAATTAATATACCATCATCAGTTATATCAATAGGATATGATTGTTTTTATGAATGTACATCATTAACATCAATTAATATAGATAATCTACAATTTGTTAGTGAAGATAGAATATTTATAAATGAACCAGTGTTAATTAGTACTGAAATACCAAAAACTCTACAAATAATCAATGGAAAGAATATTTTCAAGAAAGATATTAATAAATTTATTATTCCATCTTCAATCACTAAATTAGGATTTTGTTGTTTTAAAGAATGTTCAACATTAAAATCAATTAATATTCCATCTTCAATTAATGAAATAGGAGATTATTGTTTTAGTTATTGTTCATCATTAACATCAATTAATATACCTTCATCAATTACCAAATTAGGAGATTGTTGTTTTTATGAATGTACATCATTAAAATCAATTAATATACCTTCATCAATTAATGAAATAGGATTTTATTGTTTTAGT